ACTATGGCATTGAAGTGTGGGTATCTGTTGGGGTCTTCAGGAGGGAGCAGGGATTGCCCTGGGGAAGCCAAGAAGTCTGTTTACTTCAGTCTTTCTGGCTGAAGAGTCAGTCACTTTTGTTCCTCAATCCACAGGGCTGCACCTGGCCACTAGTAGCTTCTGAGATCTGCAGGTGTTAACTGAGACAACCAGGAGACTGTATCTCCTAAATCCCAGCTCCAGAATTCCTGGGAGAGGGCCTAATTGGCCCACGTAGTGGCCAGTGTCCATCCTTCAACGGCCAAGAGGCCAGGTTTTCTTGTAGGAACTCGGCAGCTCCTGCCATGGTCATGTGGATGCCAGATGGGAAGGGACACCTAGCAGGCAGTCCATAGGCATGTACCTGATAGACTTACCCTTTGCTTTGTTCTCCTTCTTTTCTCAGCCCGTAGCTCCTGGTATCTCATACTTACAGTCCATATTGACCTCTGTGCATGTGGATTCTCTCTCCTTATGCCTCATTGCACCTCACGGCCTCTGTCTCTTTTTACTTCCCATACTACAGCCATAACCCACTGTTGTTGCACGAAACTCTGCTGTTCCATGTTTCTTTATTCAAATTTCTCAGAACATTCCCTAGTCCTGCCCATATTTCCATGCCGGACCAGTTCATAGGCACTGTCTTGCCTAAGGACTGGCTACCTTATGATACAGAGCCTGTGTTCAGGAGTCTCCCAGGGTGACGCAAGACCTCCCCTTCTGCCAGGACTTGTGGGCTGGGTGATGTCACTGTGGACATGGCTTTATGGATCAAGATGAATTACCAGCACGGTCCTGCCGGTGGGAAGGGGGAAATGTATTTCCCTTCCCTTTAAATGCAGGAGCCAGAGTGTGCACGCATCACTTTACTTACATCTCATTAGCCAGAACTTAGTTACATGACCACATCAAGATGCAAGGATGCTGGGAGATGGAGTATTCTGGGTGATGATGTGTCCAGATAAAACTTGAGGATTCTTTTACTCTAAGGAGGAGGGGAAGAGTAGATACTGGGGACAATGGAACCACCATTTTCCTGTCACTCAGTTTTGACTCCTCTCCACCATTCAGTTTGTCAGAACATCCTGACACATCCCACTCCTGATGCCTTTCTCATAGGGCCCTATTCTTTATCCCCACTGATGTCATCACAGGCCAGGCTTTTAGAGCTTTATACCTAGCATCTCCCAAGAACCTTCTAACTGATCTTGCTTGCAGTCTCTCTCCAGCTTCCCCCTGTGATCATTCTCAAGTGCAAATCACACCCAGCTCCCCACTGCTTATAGCAGTGAGATTTTATTTTATTTTATTTTATTTATTTATTTATTTATTTATTAATTATTATTATTATTATTGCTTATAGCAGTGAGATTTTAACTGCCAATTTTTGAATCCTGGGACTTACATGCAAATTTTGCACATATGTGCATTTTTCTGAAGACAGCTTCAGATTCTCAAAGGAGTTTGTGATTCCCTCTCAAGCTGCAGGCTCAAGTTGAAATTCCTAATGTCAAACATACAAGTGGGATGTGTCTACGGACCTTCTTATATCTTCTCTCTGGGCACTTCCATAGTGTAACCCAAACTGAAGTCATTCTGGAATTCCTTCCATCGCCTAGACAGGCCATGCTCTTTCCTATGCCACATCTTTATGGCTGCTGTTCTATCTAAAATGCCCAAACTCCTACACATCCTTATGGCTTAGCAGAAAAGCCCCCTCTTCTGTGAGGCTTCCTTAACTCCTTCCGGCACAGTCAGTCTCCACAGCACTGTTCTGACATCGCTACGCATCCTTTTGCACAGTCATCAACCTATGTCTGTTTCCTCCACCAAACCGTTAACTCTGGAGCCTAGGACCTAGAGTAGGTAGACCACAGATGTTCATTGAATAATTGTCACTCTGCCCAAAAACTGAAGTGCTTTTCTAAAATGTAAATCTGAGTGTCACTTCCTGCTTTCCTAGTGCCTCCAAGTTCAAATTTGTTACAGTGGCCTTTTCTCTGGCCTCATCTTGCAATTCTTTCTTTTTTTTACTCCATGAACCCTGAAGTTCTTTTAATGCTCCAAATCAGGGTTCTTTCTCACCTTGAGGTTTTATGCATGCTTCTTCCTCTGCTCCTCTGCATGGCTCTACCTTCCCATACTTCAGATAGCTTAAATACTCCAGGAAGCTTTCTTGGGCCCCCTCCCCACCCTCAGATGAGGCCGAGGGTCCCACCTATGTGTCCCCATAGCACCTTGTACTTTCCCAGTTGCAACATGCATCATGCTGTGTCAGAATGACCGGTTTGTCTTTCTTTCCTGCGAAACTGAATTCTGTATCTAACTTGCCCAGTATGTCCCCAGCCCCAAACACAGTGCTTGGATGAGGGGAGGTACCTGATAAATGTGTTAAAGGAGGGTTAGAAAAATGAATTTCTTAGCCGTCAATCTGTTTTTCAGTAGCTCTCCACTGCCTTTTGAACAAAGTCCCTTTAGCTCTTTATCATCTGTCCTCATGTATTGTCAGTCTCCTCTCTTCCGAACCCACCCTTTGATCTCAGCATCTCACTCAAGCTCCACATGAAAGTCCTGTTGAACTGCTTGAAGGTCCCCACATGCCTGCAGTCCCATCTTTCAGCCTCAGCAGTGCTGATCTGTGCCTGGTGCACTCTGGGCTCTCCTCACTTCTCACTTCTCTTCCTTTTTTGGCAAACATCCACTTATTTTTTTTTTTTTTTAAGAATTTTTTTTTCAACGTTTATTTATTTTTGGGACAGAGAGAGACAGAGCATGAACGGGGGAGGGGCAGAGAGAGAGACACAGAATCGGAAACAGGCTCCAGGCTCTGAGCCATCAGCCCAGAGCCCGACGCGGGGCTCGAACTCACGGACCGTGAGATCTTGACCTGGCTGAAGTCGGACGCTTAACCGACTGCGCCACCCAGGCGCCCCAAACATCCACTTATTAATTATTTTTTTTTAATGTTTATTTTTTAGACAGAGATACACAGAGACAGAGTGCGAGTGAGGGAGGGGCAGAGAGAGAGGGAGACACAGAATCCAAAGCAGGCTTCACATTCTGAGCTGTCAGCACAGAGTCCAACCCGGGGCTTGAACCCATGAACCGTGAGATCATGACCTGAGCCGAAGTTGGATGCTTACCTGACTGAGCCACCCAGATGCCCCCCATTAATCTTGAATCCATTTAATGTTTCAGTTCAGATACCTCTTCCTTCAGGAAGCCTTCCTTGAATTCCTAAGAGCAGTTCTTAAGACGTGTAGTATTCTGGGCTTTCTTCCTTCTCACCATTCTGTTTTCCTAAGTAGATGGTTAAGTGGAAACCTGAACTACAGTATCTCGAATGTGAACCCACTGCCTGCACACAGTGGGCACTCCTGAAATATTTGTAGAATAAACTATATTTCCTGGTCTTATTTCTTACTGTTGGTGCACGTGTCCTGTCTTCCAAAAGCAGGTTGGAAGCTCCATGAAGTCAGTGAGGGAAGCTAAGGTGTCTAGGGGCCTCTCTCCAGGCCTGAGCTTAATTTCTGTCCCCAGTAAGGCTGATATATGTTGCTTGGAGGCTGTGCTGTCAGACATTTGACCAATCTATTAATCAGTGGAGACTTGGCTTAATGTTTTTGGAAGCCTGGGTTTGGGATCACGGTGACCTTAGATACCTTTTTTTTAGACGTGACTAAAGCCAGTGCCAGTGCATATATCTTTTTGAGTTAATGTTTTTGTTTTCTTTGGGCAAATGTGCAGTAGTGGAATTACTGGATTATATAGTATTTCCTTTTTAATTTTTTGAGAAATCTCCATATTATTTTCCATAATGGCCGCACCAGTTTATATTCCTACCAACAGAGCCCGAGGGTTCCCTTTTCTCTACATCGTTGTCAACACTTGTCTTTTTGTTACTAGCCATTCTGACTGGTGTAATAACTCATTGTGGCTTCGACTTGCATTTCCCTGATGATGAATGCTGTTGAGGAGGGATGGGCAAAACAGACGAAGGGGACTAAGTGGTACAAACTTATAGTTATACAATAAATAAGTTGCAGAGATGGAAAGTACAGCATAGGGAATGTAGTCCGTAATATTGTAATAATGTCATATGGTGGCAGATGGTGACTACACTGTGGTCAACACTGAGTAACGTATAGAATTAACATGTTGGGAGCGCCTAGGTGGCTCAGTCGATTAAGCATCTGACTTGATTTTGGCTCTGATCATGAGCTCATGATTGTGAGATCGAGACCTGCTTTGGGCTCTGCACTGGGCACAAAGCCTGCTTAAGATTCTCTCTCTCCCTCTTCCTCTGTCCCTTCCCAGCTCATGCTCTCTCAAAAATAAAAACAAAAAAATAAGAATAAACAAAAGTAATTAAGTAAAAAACTGTATACCTAAAACTAATAAAACATTTTATGTCGATTGTACTTCAACAACAAAAGAATAATAAAGCTGAAATGACTAAAATACATAAATAAAAGCCAGCACCAGGAGCAGTGTCAGGTACCTGGCTGGTTTCAATAGATGTTTGTTGAATGAGTTCTGGAACTGAGAGACAATGACAGGGAGGCGGGCTGTGCTTGTTCAATCTCACCATGTTCTGGGCTCAGACATTCCAATAGAATGGAATACTTATAAGGAGGGAGATCATGTGTTCACATTCCAAACTCAAGATGAGGAGAAACATACTAAAAATCTGAGAAAGGGTGGACAAAGTTTTTTGGATAGTGATTCAATGGCTTCAAACCCTTCTCTGGTATATAAGCTGTGCTTAATAGCTGGACTCAAATGAGATCATTAAAAGGTAACGTGACCCAAATGAAATTTGCCACCCTAATGTGAGATACGGAAATAGACTCTAACTTGGCAACGTAGGACATGGAACCCCTCCTGCTGTCTGCAGAACTTCAATAGCGAATAAGACCCACAGTGCAAATTCCAAGAATCAAGACTAGAGAAATGCAAAGAAATACCTTTGAGACAGAAGATTGAGGGGCAGCATTTTAATATATAAACAGTCAGGCCAGGCCGGAGCCTTGATACTCCAAGTGTGGTGTGGCCCAGGAACATCAGCATCCCCTGAGAATGGTTAGAAATGTATACTCTCAGCTCCCTTCCCCTCAGACCTACTTCATTCTAACAAGACCTGCAGGTGATTGTATGCATATCAAAGTTTGAGAAGCACTGGGCTGGAACATTTTTTTAAGGTGGGTTTTTGCCCTTAAAATGTGCTTTCAGGTCAACGTAAACCCACTTAAAGTATTTTTAGCTCATTATTTGCTCCATTCTCTCTACCTCTGAGCAACACTGTCACACATCAGTGTCCTGCTCTGGGACTTTGAGATGCTCATGAATCCCAACAGCGTATAAAAGTTTGCTGCGCCATTTCTGTAGACAGTCAGTATGGGTTACAAATTTGATTCCCAAACTTCCATCAGCTGTTCCTTGTATGACACCCCCAGGAGATAGGTTGTATGATAATTTCCTTTTTGGGAGATGATGAAACCAGGGTTCAAGGAGGTTTCATGACTCTCCCAAGGGACACCAAGCAAATTGACATATGAGTCAAAATGAGAACTAGAGGTTTTGATATTCCAATGTGAGGCTCACCAAACTTCGATGTCTTTTCTGTTTATATAAAGAGGATTTTTTTTTTTTTTTTTTGCATAGGAGACTTTAAGAACAAATTCATAGATAACTTTGTGTGAGTTACTGAATAGAAGCCATGCACATATGGGCCCCTGGGATTATGGAAGTTTAAGAGAAAACTGTCTGTCTAGTGGAGAGAGGAGTGAGCCCAGAGAGGGCCATGCCCTGCTCAGCTCCCACATTCCTGCTGCAGTCCAAAGTGACAGGTTTTGCAACCAGGAGCCTCAGAAACCTCAGCGCCTCGTGAGGGCTCAGAGTTCACTCAAGGTCTATGAGGGGAAAGGAGCCAGGACTCCCATGAGGCCATGGATATGGCTCTAGAGGTAATGTGGTGGCTTCTAGATGACAACAGCCTGTCCCCAGGAGGATGCTCATTCCTATTTGTTTCTTTCATAGATTCAGAATAGCTGATGTAACTAGACTCTGCCTAAATACATGTGGTGTGCTTCACTGGATTGGATTTCCTAATTAATTCCAATTTCCCTGGCGCAAATTGGGGCCACTTAATGACTCAGAAATGGTCAAGACTGTATACCTGGCATTGATACCAATATGCTCTTTCTACTTTGCCTGAATTTAAGATTTCTCTATCAACCCTAGCCAAACAAAGGCCCCAGATGGGGTTTGTTCAGTTTCAGCTGTCAGTATGGTGATTCTCCTAGGGTCCTCTAGAGAATGATTGCCAGGGTGGCTGCTTAAATCCACCTCCCCCCAAGCCCCCCCTCCCCTCCCCGCCCAATCCTTTCTAGACATGCATATTCAATGAGACATATTCATGTAACTGATTAAAAAACAAAAAAGATGGTGCACTTTAAAATTCCATGTAAAAAGTATTGCTTTGCTAATGTGCTCCTGCCTGTCTGCTCGCTACATGGTGCTACAAAGGATAGAGTCACGAGGAATTCAAGGCTGAAGATGTTGGGGATTTTTAGACAACACCAATGCACCCTGCACCTTATACCCTGCTCTGCAGCCTGCGTAGTTTTGGGGCTTGGCCTAAGGCAAAAACTACAAAGCGTTCTAATGAGCAGAATTATATAACAGGAATGTATGTGCATATTTGACATAGTTTCTTCTCTTGAAGGGCGGCCCTCTGGCTTTGACCCATGCCCTCTCCAAGGGCTAAGAAGGAGTCCAGAGAAGGAGTCTTTTGTTCCCAGCTGCCAATTCTTCTGTAGCCCCTACGGCCCCAGGGACCTGCCCTGCTCTGCGTGGGCCCGCAGAAGCCCTGCAATTTCCACATGGGCGGGTGATTTCAGAACGATGGACAGAGCTGTTCGGCCAGCCTACAGGGAAGAAAGAAAAGGAGAAACAATTTTATCGTGTCTTCCTCCTGCCCCAGAGAAGGGTGAGTTGGAAGGACCGGGTAGGCATGGGGCATTGAAGTCTATTCCAAGCATCCAGTGACCCTAGGAGAGGTGGAGATTAGAATGGCATAAGGCTCACGAAAAATGGTTCCCCTTCCACGGAAACATCATTCACTTCTGGAAAATCTGTGCCGATGGAAATAAGAAGTGTCACACGGTTTGTTTGCTTGTTTTCCCACATGGTTTTTAATACTTCTTTTTTAAATTGGAAAATAGAGGAAAGAAAATAACTCTTCCATTTTTCCATTGCCCAGACCTTAATGAAAGTTAGCATTTTGGTATGTTTCCCTCCAGTCTTCTCTCCTGTGCAAATTTGTCGTTGGTTTTTACATAGAAGAATGATAGTATATATCAATTTTGAATCTGCTTTCGTTTTACTTTATTTTTTAAATGTTTATTTATTTTTGAGATAGAGTGTGTGGAGGAGGGGCAGAGAGAGAGAGAGAGACAGACAGACAGACAGACAGACAGAATCCCAAGCAGGCTCTGCTCTGTCAGCACAGAGCCTGATGCAGGGTTCTCACTCAGGACCTGAGAGATTATGACCCAAGCTGAAGTCAGATGCTTAACTGACTGAGCCACCCAGGCACCCCCCAAGTCTGCTTTTATTTTTAACATACCATGGCACACTACAAGATTTTTCCCTCTTCTTAAAATTTTTCTTATTGGCTGTGTTAATATTCCATAAGTTAATGAACTGTTTCCTTTCTATTGGAGACTTACATTTCTAGGTCTTCACCACTATAAATATAGTGCAGACAGTATTTCCCCAATTCTACCTGTTTCTTAAGGACCAACTCTTAGAGAAGTGGGCTTACAGCATAAAAGGACATACCCATTTTTACACCTGATACATGATACCACAGTGCTTTTTACACTGCTGCAATAATGCAGGAAGCTGCCAGGCCCACTCTGTAAAGAAGCTGTATTCAGAAGGGCTCTCAGCCAACAACATGGGCCATTCTCTACAGAGAGTGGCGGGGAAGGCCAACTCAATGCAGTGGATGCTAAGCTCTGCGATGGCAGCCATGTTCTTGTATGAATGGCTCAATCCCATTCTGGAATTCTGAAATCTCAATAGCTCCCAAACCACTTTTATGGTAATTCATTTGCCTCCAAGTGAATTAGGAGGCAAAACCCGATGTGAGGCTATCTGTGACCCTTATGTAGCCCAGTTAGTGTGAATGTTTTTATACTCTGCTTCGTAAAGACTCATGGATTTAGCATATTGGGGGGGGCACCCAAGACCCCACTGGACTGTTCTCTGCTCTATTGTATATGGGTGGAATTACTTCCTAAAATGTGAAAATCCCTGGAAGCAGGTGGGAGGTGTTCACCCTCAGCCTAAAGCTCTTCAGTCTTCACCAGGATGGAGTCCAGCTCCCATCAGGGCTCCACACACCTGTAAGTCACTATAATGCATGGCAAAGAGCCAAACAAGTTGAAAGAGGAACACAGTGAGATCAGAGAAGAGGATGGTGCTCTGTGTGTATATGATGTGTGTGTGTGTGGGGGGGGGGGGGAATGGGGAAAGCAGAGGAAGAAAGTGGCATTTCAGCAGGACCCCGAAGGATGTTCATGGGCTTCACAAAACATAACAGCTTCTGGGGCGCCTGGGTGGCGCAGTCGGTTAAGCGTCCGACTTCAGCCAGGTCACGATCTCACGGTCTGTGAGTTCGAGCCCCGTGTCAGGCTCTGGGCTGATGGCTCGGAGCCTGGAGCCTGTTTCCGATTCTGTGTCTCCCTCTCTCTCTGCCCCTCCCCCGTTCATGCTCTGTCTCTGTCTGTCCCATAAATAAATAAAAACGTTGAAAAAAAAATTTAAAAAAAAAAACATAACAGCTTCTTTCTCTGAAAAGGCCCCATGACTGTACCTTCCTTTTACCACCATTTGTAAGTTGGTATCTGGCGCCATTTGATAAATCTTTCTCCGCCAGGTCAGACTCTAGATCTGACCTGTGGCTACTGGCCCAGAAAGAATATCCCAGCACCTGGCTCAGTGCCTGCCCTTTGGTCTGCACCCAGTAAGCACTGCTGAAAGAGGGAATGCTGGACAATAACCGAGAGGTATTCATTTCAAGTTGATGAAGAGCCTGAGCAGCCTAACTCCTAATGAGTATGTTCCTAGATTGGGCAAGTCGGGAACAAAGCAAAGATTTTAAGCAGGGGGGGGGGGTTTCTAAAGCACCTGCGTAGTTTCGATTGAAGAGAGGCACCTGGGTTTTTGTAGGCCCTGTGCTCTGGTTTTCATTGTGGCACTGTCAACCCTGAGGTTCTCTGTAAGCACAAAGATGGTGTGATTACTGTTATTATGGGAAAGAGCCATGGGCCAGTCCCAGGGGACCCATGCGCCTTTGAAGAGGGCCCATCTGGAGATGACAGCCTGTATCTGTGGGCTTCTCACTTGCAGACCTGGAGAGTGAGGGACCCAATTCAGCTCAGAAAGTGTGGCCAGTGAGACCACCTGGGGTGGGTGAATCCCTCAAATGCCTCTGCCAGAGCCCTGGGAACAAGGCAACAGTGTGTAGCTCTAGTGGGAACCTGGCTTGGCAAGTTCCTGCTGGGCAACACTGGAGGCCTGAAGAAATGGGATGGGCTCAGGCAGCCAGCACACGTGTGTGTGTGTGTGTGTGTGTGTGTGTGTGTGTGGTGGTAGTTGGGTTGTCTTTCGATATGACAGAACCTACTATGTATCAGGCAAAAATGAGCAAGGTAAGTCTCTGCCTTAAAAGAAGCTTTCAACTTGATGGGTGCTTACCCATTGCCAGAGTAAGCCCTTCAAAGGGTAAGCCTCGGGATCCAGAGACCAGTCCTCACCACCTCCTCTTGCTCATCTCTTGATCAGCCCCCAAGAGGCTGGGTGACCAATTTCTCAAATTACCTTCTAAACCTAGAGAAAGTGCTTGCTGGCTATTCTGGGGGTTCCACATTTATATCAACCTTTAAATGGTGGTAGGATAAGAGAAACTGATTTTAGGACATGAATTATCTCTCAGTTTTCCAAGGAAATTATTAAGTCCTCCAAACCTGCGTCTAAGTCTCCATAGGATATGTGCCCATTGAAACAGTATGGTGACCATGACAAGGGCTGGACCCACCCTTCAGGGTAAACCTGGAGGAACAGGGCTTGGTGCTTGGTAGGGCCTCGGTCAGCAGTCCCCTTGTCCCTATGAAATGTCTCACCCAAGTCACCTTTGGGAAATTGGGGTGTGACCCAAGCAGGGAGCAGGTGAGTGGGCCACAAGCAGGGTAGAGTTGGGGCTCATGGGACCTAAAGACACTGGACCAGGGTGTGAGCTTCTTGGGTGTGGTGTGAGGGACCCAGCAGCTTGAGTCACTGATGGAACAATCTCAGGTAGTTCAGATGTGGCCCAGTGAGGGGGGCTGTCCTTGGGCAGGGGAGGGACTCTTCCCCTTTCCAGGCCTTTTTCCCTTCAAACTGTGGGTGTTAAGAAAGTATAGACAACTCTGTGTAAAGCATTATAGCTCCAACAATAAGGACACTGAAGTCGAACCTGGGCTTGAGTCCTTCCTCCAAGAACCAGAAGCTTGTGACCTTATGACAGCTACATAAACTCTCTAAGCCTCTGTTTCTTTATCAGTGAAAATGGGGATCAAAGTATCCACGTAACTAGATTGTCGAGAGGATTAGTGAGATAACGCATGGAAAGGGTTTGGCTCCTGACAGTACTCTAAGGAGTTTGATGGAGCTGGGTTGCACTAGCTATGTGATTTGGGGTATGTTACTTAACCACTCAGTGCCTCTGTTTCCTTACAAGCAAATGGGTGGCGTCAGCAGAGACAAACCTCATAAGGTTGTTGTGGGGTTTCAATAACGTGATCCTCGGTAAATGCTTAGTGCAGTACTGGGCACTGAGCAAGCCCTAGAGACATGCCGGCCACCATCATTGTTATCACACCAGCCGTCACCACCATCATCCTTGTGATCATCATCGCCATCACCTTACAAAGACGTTTATTTAAGAAGCATGTGCCTGGCAATGTGACCTCGAGCCGGCCGGTTGATGATATGCACCACCCTGTAAGGTGTATCACTGTCAGAGAGTAGACATAATTTGCACTTGGTTCCTCCCCAGCCTTTCAAGTCCCCGTGGGTAGCAAAGCTCCCTTGTCCAAGGTGCTGCTCCAAAGCCCAAATGCGGTTGTTGCTGTGACCAGTTCAGGGCCAAGGCCAGGCCTGGGCACATTTCCTCAGGATGGTGTGAAAGGTTAGGATTTCGGGGTTCCCAGCTCCAAGGCTCCCCACATTTACTACAGATCATCTCATTTAAGTCCCACAACAGCGCTATGAGGTTGATTCCATTGCTTCTGACATGTGCTTCCTTGAATTCTACTGGCTGGGCAGGCACTTTTCGGGAAGGGAAGTGAAACACCTACTTGTTAATTGCCTGGAAGTCTCACCTTGTCGGTCAGGCTGCTGTCACAGGCCGGGTGTGCCAGGAGCAGCCGCACCATGTCGACGTTGCCGTGGTGACAGGCCAGCATGAGGGCTGACGATCCCTCGTGGTCCTGCAGGTTGACATCTGCCTGGCAGTTGAGCAGTGCCTGGACCATGTCCTCCCTGTCATGGCTGACTCCCAGCATCAGGGCAGTCTGGCCTCCCTGCCACACAGAGCACAGGGGAATGGTGAGGATCCCCTCTCCAGCCTGGGTATGCTTGGGCAAGAAGGTTCCAGAAAATGACCATTGAATCTGAATCTCCTCCTGCCCCTGGTAATGGACACATCCTTCTCCACCTGGCAAACTTATGCTTTGCCAAAACACTAGTCAAATGCCACATCCTCTCTAGAGCCCCCTGCTAACACCCCAGGCACGGGATACATAACACAGCACTTACCACTTGGTATTGCAACCTGTCAATCTCTCTCCTTCTCGTGGACTGTGAAATTTTTGATGGCAGGGACTAAGCCTTTTTCATCTCTGTCTCCCCAGTGCCTGGCACCAAGTACATGCCGATAAACATGGAATGATAGAGTAAATGAAGGGTTGAATGCTTCTGTACTGTGGCTTTTTACTCTCTGCCCTGGCCTAACTTCCTGCAGGAAGCCTTTTTCTTTTCTTAAAAATTATCGTAATAATCTGTCCTGTGTACCTCACAGGGCTTTTGTGGGAATCCAGTGAAATAAAGGGTGTAAATAGAACAACGTATGGTAGCAATTTTGCTGATTATAAATGGGCCATTTATTTCTCATAGATTTTCCTTTATGTACATAGTCCTATTAAATGACCTGATTATATTTTTCCCTTATGGTTCTCCTGGGTTCCAGGTAGGTCAGGCTTGTCTCTCACTGGACACCAGGCTTTTTTAAGGTTGCAAGAATGAGGCAAGGACTATGTTTTCCCTCCTTTCAGATCCCTGTGGCTCTCAGCACCAAGTCCTACGTGTAAAAAGTGCTGAGGACATGTTTGCTGATATGTTTGCTCACTGATTAAGGGCCGGTCTGTGGTCACTGATGGATTATGCTTCCCTGCCCAGAACTTTGGGACTTAGAGAAAAGAAAGGAGGTTTGCAATCAGGAAAATCCTGACTGTGTCACTTATTATCTATGTGAATTGAGTTAACTATTATATATGTGAATTGAGTTAACCTCTCAATGGCTTCTCCTGATCTAGTGAAATGGGAATGCTCAACAATATTACCTGCCTCATGGGGCTGTTCTGAGACTCATGTGCTTAACAAGTGCTGTGCATGTGTTAGCTATTATTGTTGTTATGAGCATGAGCGATAATGTGTGACAAATACCCAGTATGTGGGATCGTATTCTTAGGTATCCTGGTTCTCCATTTCTCTGGCACCCAGATAGATCTTTCCAGAGAAGCCTTGTTTGCCTTTTGGTTTGCTTATACTCAGCCCTGAAGTAATGGCTCTTTCTTTACTGGCCTAACTAGATCAGGAGATTTCCATCGAGACCCCTCTCTCCAAGTGGTATTAAAGCCAGATGACTTGTGCAGATTGTCCTCTTGTCTGTCCCTATGCCTAGCTTGGGGCCCCTGCCTTCCTCACCTCCCTCCTGGTCCAGTTCAATACAATTTAATTCAACGATATTTACAGAGTGCTGCTATATGCCAGGCACGGTGCTGATCCTGGAGATACAAAGAGAAATAAACAGCTTAGCCTAGGAGACTCCCAGCCTCCTAATTCACTATTTACCTGGTACCTGCAGCTCATATGCAGCTGAAATATGTAAAAGCCCTGGAGGGAGCTGAAGGGAGCAGTGGCAGCTATGAATTCCTTTCCCTCCTTAGCAACCTGGGATAAGACCCATGCCCTCCTAGAGCATCTATAAAAAAAAGGGCATTGATTTTGATTTTGATGAGCATCCCTTCTTAAAAGAGGGCCAATTTAGAAAAAAATTAACATATTTATGGCAAACATTTTAAAATGAAAGCAGCTTTATTAAATCCCATGGGGTAGGAGCTCTAGGTGAAAATACTTTGAAAAACAGAAAGTGATCTACAAATGTCTGTTCCTTGCCATCAATAGGATCACTATTAGATAAAGTGTGCAAAGTGACTTTGCTATCTGGGTAGGCTACTGTCTGCAGTCACTTTCTGGGGGTGGGGGTGGGGGGACAAGGGAGTTAAATATATTGTTGGGAGGCACTTTCTTATGGGTCTGTAAGTTTTTTGCATACTTTGTGAGTGAGACACCATCTGCTCTGTTGTTCTAGACTGTCTTTTTATTTTTTGCTTTATTTTATTTTTTAAGTAGGCTCCACACCCAGCGTGGAGCCCAGTGCAGGCCTTGAAGTCACAACCCTGAGATCCAGACCTGAGCTGAGATCAAGAGTCAAATGCTTAACTGACTGAGCCATCCAAGCACCCCTAGACTGTCTTTTTAAAGATGCTTGTATAGTGAACAGCCTTGGAAGAAAGAGATAGCGTCTTCTCCAAAACAAAGGGCAAACATACTCACTATCCAATATAAAAGATTCAGGTTCCCTAAGCTCAGGGTTCCTTTCCAGTAATACAACCTACTCCATGTACAGGGATCTGACCCTCCTCACACCTGTGGGAATTGGGTATTGGGGCTCAGGGAACTGGTGTAAATACCGATGCCATGGCTACTCTTCCTGCTGTGAGCAATACACTGTCCATCTCTGGCACAGGAGTTTCATGTCTTCTGCCAGCGTCCATGACACTGTAGCATGCTAACTTGTTAGCATTAAAGTAGAGTACAATCTCAGACCCTTCACAGTTCTTGATAGTTAAGCTACATCTCTGATCACTCTGGGGGGAAAGAGAGTTGCATGCATTCTGTTGTTCTCATATTGGTCAAAGATGGGTAAGTGGTCTTTTGAGGAGTTCCCATTGTTCCATATGGAGCCTTGTCTAACTCAAAGCCCTTCAGGCTAAGGACCATGCCCCTATGCTATCCTCTCAAGTAGAGGGGCCCAGAAGCTAAACAGAGACATGCTAACCCTTTGAACTGCTTTCTAATTCACGATGGAGGTTGATCACCTGCAGAGGCTTTCTACACAACCAACAAATGCCTTTCAGCATTTTCATGTCCTGCTGGTGCTAACTGTTCAAGAAGTCTGGTCCAGATGGACTTTGCCCAGTTTCAGACCAGGACACAGATTACAAGCTCACTGACCTCTGTCCTAGCCTGTCTGGGTCTCAGAAGCTTTTGAGGAAACCAAATGTACAGGCTTTGGACGGATGCCATTTGGAGGGCCCAGCCTTCTTGGGTTAAAAACTCTACAGGGATCTACATACAATTTTTCACCCCACTGGCAGAATAAAGCTGAGAAGTACCCATATTTATTAAAGAGGGGATCATGTTCACACCTCTTACCTGAGTAGCTTGGATGTTCACATTTCCTTCTCTTAAGAGCTTCCAGACGACAGCCATGTCTTCGTCGGTCTCTGCAGAAGCCAAGGGAGTGATCATCACGGCAGTGTAGCCGGCTTTGTTCTGATGGTCAACATTGCAGACACCTGCAGGGGGAGCAGTAGGCACTGGGATAGCTTCCGGGTTTGGGGGGGGGGGGGGGGGGCGCGGGCGGGGGCAGGAGTGAGCTTCTGCTTTAGCAGAGCACAGTTCAACAGGGCACTCCCTGCTAGTTAAAAGGCCATGGAGCAGAGCGATCTTTTCCCAGTGGTGGAGTCAGTGTTTACATTTTTAGCAGCCTTTAAAAGTGGCTAGTTTTCTTTACAAGTTTTCTAAAGCTACTCAGCAAGAAAGGTCCAACAAGGTAGTAGAGTCAGAGATGGCCAAGGGGTAAAATGACCAGGACTGTTTCCTAAAGCAGAGCACATGACATGATTCCCATTTTACAGATGAGGATACTGAAGGTCAGTGAAGCTTCATAAACTGCCCGAGTGACGATGAAATGAGAGCAGAGCTCAGGTAAGTCTGGCTCTCACCCACCGCTCACCTGGCCACCCATCACCTACAACTGTCATTTTAGGCTTTACTCTAGGTCTGTGTACAACTCTTAAGCTGGTGGCAGCGTTTTCATGTCTTTTCCAAAGGCCTAGTGATATGTTGGGCAGTGTACCAGGTGGCATGAAAAACGCCACAGGAAATCTTTCCAGGAATAAGCATCTTATTTGAAAAATCGGGGAGGGGGGAGGCCTCCATACACATTTGGGTTAAAGCAATTAAGAATATACATTTCAAAGTAGAATGAAAAATAGCACATTTTAAATATTTAAATACTTAAATAAAGTATTAGTTGAGAACTCAAAGGAAATATCTGCTTTGTAACCCTGAGGGTATGCGTTCATATCTCGCTGCACCAAAGGTGACATAGGTCATCAGCTTCTTACCTATTGTATAAATGATCCCACTTCTTTTTTCTGATTTATTTTATAATTTTTTTAAATGTTTATTTATTTTTGAGAGAAAGAGGGAGAGAGAGAGAGAGAGAAAATGAGAATGAGTGGGGGAGGGGCAGAGAGAGAGAGGGAGACACAGAATCTGAAGCAGGCTCCAGGCTCTGAGCTGTCAACACAGAGCCTGACGTGAGGCTTGAACTCACGAACTGTGAGATCATGACCTGAGCCTAAGTCAGACGCTTCACCGACTGAGCCATCCAGATGGCCCACAGTCCCACTTCCTAAGGGCAATACCATGTGGAAAACAAAATCTTTCCCATACTGTTGCTTATCCAAAAAAGCTATGTATCTCTTTTGGACAATAAAAAAACTATCTCTACAGATCAAGTCATTTAGTTTTTCTTAGCATTTCCTCTGTAGAATGGGGATAATAATAGAGCCTATGGGGTTACCATGAAATTTAATGAGTTAATATATCAAAAGAACTTAGAACAGTACCTAGCACATTGTAAACAGTCAGTAAGCACTTACTGTTTCACTAGTATAGTATTCTTATTTCTGTATCCTTGCTACTTGCTCATGAAGACTTAGCTATTCATTGTAACAGATATGGTTTATGAAAAAAATGCCAATTAGGGTGACTTATTTACAAGTTCTGTACTTGGGGTAAAAAAACAATATTTGTTTGACGTTCGCTCCACCCCACCTCAAACAATTTTTCAGAAATGTGCCATTGTGATGCCAGGATGCCAGTGGATACAAAAAAATCAGTCTGGTCCATTTATCATTAGTAAGCCCCTCTGACCACTGTCATGACCAGTGGGGCCATGAAAGCTGAATCTAACTCCACACATTGCCTCACAACTTTGCCTTGATAAAGATGGGAATATCTGCATTGCCTTGTTAATGACTTTTTTATTTTTACCTCTTGACTATCTTGTGTTTGCTTTTAAGAGGTGTAAACAGTCCTCAGGTTATAGTTCTCTTTACTCTCTTCAGGAACATTACTTGTAGCTCAGCAGAGTAAGGACTGACTCCTCCTCAGGGATTCAGAAAGGGGCTTCACCCAGGGCTTTCACAGCAAATTCTTCTGAGCAGCCCCTAGGGAGTAAAGCCAACCCTCTCTGGAGTCAACAAGAAAGACTCATGACTGAGCACGCTCCAGTTCAACAAGCTTTCTCCCCTGCAGCGGCGTTTTGGCAAAATAAAGGATGGATCACATGGGGTGCCTGGGTAGCTTAGTCGGTTAAGTGTCTGACTGCGGCTCAGGTCATGATCTCGCGGTCCGTGAGTTCGAGCCCCGCGTCGGGCTCTGTGCTGACGGCTCAGAGCCTGGAGCCTGCTTCGGATTCTGTGTCTCCCTCTCTCTCTGCCCCTCCCCTGCTAATGCTCATTCTCTCTCTCACACACTCTCTCGGAGTGTGACTGGTCTGTCCTCTTCAACAGCCCTTCTACATTGAGGGAAAGTAATGGTCCCTTCAGCCCGTTCTCCAGCAAATCTTCATTCTTTGTGCTTACAGCTATTTAGCTCTATCAGTATGTTAAACAGAAAGCTTCCAGATCACTTTAGGGTTGGTGAGAACTGAATGGATTCTCAGTCCACACCAGCAGAAGTGCACAACAACCAAAGTTTAGGGCGTCTGTTCTCTGGCCTGGCCCACGTGGAGAACTTCTAACAGGCTGCAAGTCTGAGCTACTTGAAGATGAGGGCTCTACATTTCCAGTCTTTGGATTCTTCACGCACAGGGGCATGTTCCGTTGACTTATGTGCCTTTCTCAGTTGAGCTACCCTTTTTGTGGTATCCATGAAGAACTGAAATCTAGTAAAATTGGCTCAATGTCGAGTTGGGACTTTATCTTCCTCTGATGATGTGGAAAGCGGAAAGAATTTCAGGCTGTCATTAGGTCCATCACCTATTCATTCCAGTAAAAAGTTTCAAGGCTTCTTAAGGGAACTTTGGAGTATTGGAATGATGAGAAGGAGCCAGTCATGAGAAGGGTTTTAGGGAAAAGGGTTCAGATAGAAAGCGAAAAGGAGGGAATGAGCATGGTGAGTTTGAGGCCATCTGATTGGAGTGGATGGAAAGAGAATGCATGGTGGTGGCTGAGGGAGCAAATGCAGGCAGGAGTCAGGCCTTCTTGGATTTCTGAAGGCCAGGCTGAGGAAGTTGCCTTTCACCTTAAGAGACATGGAAAGCCGTGAGAGGAATTTAAGGCAGGGTAGATAAGATCCAAGTTGGGGGAAAGCTGTTGGATCTAGAACTGAGACTCCCCGATGCCCACTTAAACTCCTCCTCTAGCCTCCTACATAAGATTTACAGATCTAGCATGTGCTCTAATTCCTGGATGCCAGGAATGGGAAGAACAAGTCAGTGGTATCAATTTTAAACCCCAGCAGCACACTTAGTCATTATGTGATCTTGGGATCACGCAAAAGCCTATTGATTTTTCTGAGCATCACTTGCATCACTTATAAAAAATCGGAGTAATCATCCCTATTGACAGGAGTTATGAGGATTAAGTGAGACCTCATTTGCCAGGGGCTTAGTAGAGGGCCTACTCTGCAGAGGATCATTTGGGGTGTTAAATCTCCTATAGATACTCTCCTAGATATCCCACATACAGCCTTCCTGAACTCCTAGATGACACGGGACCTGGACATGCCTTCAGTCAGCCCCATCACCCACCTGTCCACGCCATCACTCCCAGGCCACTTGATGTTGTCCCACACAGCAATGTGAGGGTAGTAATACCTACATCACAAGAGCGTTGTGAAGAATAAGTGACATAACAAAGGCACGGTGGTCTAGTCCACTTCCTAGAATACAGGAGGAACTCAGGACAGTGAAGCATCACCTCCCTGGAAGGAAGTGGCTACAAAAGTTGCCCTTCAAGGAGGGACCCGGGCTGTGCAGATGCACTTGTTTCTGACCTGTCTCCAGCAGCAGCTTCACCACAGAGAAGTTGGAGTGAGACACGCTATAGTGAAGAGCCGTGTTCCCGTTGCCATCTGCCATGTTCACAAGCAGCTTCAGGAAGTGTGGGGAGTGGGGCTGGACCCCACGGAGGTAGGCCGCCACCACAGCAGGGCTAGACGACTTCCGGCTGGAGATGCGGAACCACTCTTGACTGATGGTGTTCAAGCTCTGCCTCTGAAATACCAACAGATTCCAGTTCCAGGAGATTACCAGGCCTGGGGTGCTCCAGCTGGGGTGTTCCTTTCCACTAGGAAAAGTCAGCTTTGGATGCTTCACGGCTATCCCTTCAGCTCCCTGTAACTCCATGTGACTTATTCCTGGAGGGATCAGAGCTAGTGGGGTTGAGTTTGCACCTGTGTGATGAGCCCCCCATGTGAGGTAGAAAGAGGACTGGGAGAGCAAACAATAACTGGTGACAGTGTCCTAGGTGACAGTTTGAATCTACTGTAAGTTTAGCTTGCGTCCCTTGTATGCACGGGATAACCAAGGCCCCGTCTTTCATATAACCAGCCAATATTGACCTTAGCCCAGACTCTATCAGGACTTTTGTGTGTTTTCAATAGCCATAACTAGCAAGTCACAACATTTTACTAATGGGAAAAATGCATGCTGAAAGCTAAGATCAACAACATGGCCAATTTATGCTAGAAAATAAAACCCAAACAGCTGTGCTTGAATTATTTTTGGCTTTTAAGCTTTGCTAGAACCTTCAGAGAAAATGATTTAACAACCCATGGCAGGACCTCACTATCTGCAGTATTTAGCTCCTTTGGAACCATCGATGAGAATTCCAGACATAAATGACATCGATTCTCTGTGTTACATGACCTACATGTTTAAAATAGAACATGTTTAAGTTATTTATGTAAGGGGGAGGAGAAACCATGGGGATGTTGGCTTCACACTCATTCTGGAAAGGGACTGGAGTTGGAGTCACTTAAGCCAATGTAGCCAGGCTTAAGTCCTGGCTCAGTTATATGACCTTGGAAGTCATGTAGTCATTTTGAACCTTCCTGTCTCAACTACAAAATGTGGGTGAAAAGTCCCTAACCTGTCCCTGGCTCTACACAGTGAGGTCTTTGTACAACCTGCTTTGTCTCGAAGGTGGGGTTGGGGTCGGGGGTACTTTGAACCTAACGTGGGTGTGGTGTCAGGTTTGCACATCCTCCATCACTTTTCTTTTTCTGTTTCTTATTTACTTTATTTTTAAGTAAACTCTATGCCCAGTGTGGGGCTTGAACTCACGACCCCAAGATCAAGGGTTGCATGTTCTACCAACTGAGCCATCCAGGTTACCCTATGTCTTCTAGGCAGAAACAGTGGAATCTTTTGTGGCTGAAACATTTTTTATATATCAGAATATCTCCCTTTCCTGTGGAATCTTCAGGAGAATCTGGAGAAAGATCCTAATATTAAGGAACATACAGCTTAGTTCTGTAATTCATTCAGAACTACTTATTCTGTAATTCAGAATAAGTAACAGGAGTTTCGATCAACATCCATCCACATCACACACTGGTTTTTTAACAATCTGGGAACAGTTGTTTGCCAAATCAGCTGAGATAAAATAATCAAGATGGGTTGGGCTGAGTCAATCATTTTTTACTCCTAAGCCTCTTCTGCAAGGGAGAACAAAATGGGCTCTAAAATGCTTATGGGTTGGGGCGCCTGGGTGGCGCAGTCGGTTAAGCGTCCGACTTCAGCCAGGTCACGATCTCGTGGTCCGTGAGTTCGAGCCCCGCGTCGGGCTCTGGGCTGATGGCTCAGAGCCTGGAGCCTGTTTCCGATTCTGTGTCTCCCTCTCTCTCTGCCCCTCCCCCGTTCATGCTCTGTCTCTCTCTGTCCCAAAAATAAATAAACATTGAAAAAAAAAAAGATTTAAAAAAAAAAAACTTTAAAAAAATAAAATAAAATAAAATGCTTATGGGTTGTTACACACTGGGGCTTACCAGCTGGCTCTCATGACTTGGGAAAATGTGTCTGTGCCAGTATTTCTTGAGTAAAAGTAGAACCTAATGGTTATCTGTTTACACCTCTGTGGCCATTAAGGTGCCAACAGATATATTTTCTTGCTTTTGGTCTCTCAACCCATAGGTACACGTCAAGAAAAACAGTATAGACTACAGAATTAAGTACAAGGGCTTGAGGGTAATGAAACATGCTGCCCACCGCCCACCTTCATTTTATTAATGAGGTGAACTGACTTGTTCAAGATCTCACAGAGGTCCTGGGACTAGAATCCCGGTTCCCATTCCACACGCGCTTCACTCTGCCCACAGCTCTCTCCAATTGTGAGGTGATTTTGAGCCTAAGCCACACAGTTTTGTTTTGTTGATTGTTGTACACCTGACATTCAGGTGCAGCGCCTGGTAACCCTCGATAGTGCCTCTGAGCACCAGGCTGCTTCCTGGTGCAAATGCATCGGTTCCCCTCTCCCAGCATAACCCATCACCTAGGCAGCAGAGTTTGGGCAAATGAAGGTACCCGGAGGAAAGGGACTCCGTGCACACCCACACTGCCGCCTCAGGCGGGAGACCAAAGTCACCGAGCTGGAACTAACAGCTTAAACGGCAGGGACATCCTTCCATGACAATGAAAAATCACAGTACCAAGAGTTGGTCGGTGGTGGCCCCACTTTCTGGCAGATGTTGGCTCAATGCCCGGCATGCACTGAGGAATTCTTCTGAAGGCTTATATCTAAAGAGGAAAAAAAAAATACACACACACACACATATATATATATATATATATATATATATATATATATCTTCATATTAATAAAAAAGAAAGTAATCCCCTACCTTGACTTTCGCTTCTCAGCGGCTGAAACACCCACACTGAGCAACTTCCCAGGACAAGGGATATTACACTGAATACAGCCTCCCACAATGAGGCTTGGCTTCTGAACTCTTCTGAAGAGTGAGTCAAGCACATTGCCCCTTTAATCCTGCTGTTTTCAGGAGGAGGGAGTAGATCACCAAAGCATTCTGGGGGCCATGGGCCTAACTGCAATTCCTGACATGCTGGGAAAGGAAGGCCTGTCTTCCTGACTTTGGCTAAAACATTTTCTGCCTCAGAGACTTGAAAAACCCAAAGAACCCAATCCATACTAGCAAATTTTGTCAGGTTGTTCTTTCATGAAGGGTACCATCAATGCTAACAGAGTCAATAAAATGAAAATCAGTTAAGCTGGGATGCACTCAATGATGAGCACTCTTCCCGTGTTAGTATAAGGGCAGACAGACCATCCCGGGGTAGGACTTAATGGCATTGGTCACCAGGAAGCTCTACCCTCATCACATCTTTATAGTGCTGCCATGTTGGAGTAGCCCTGTGTACCCGCTTAGTAGTCAGATCCCACTCACTGCTCGTCACTACCCCTGGCTGGGTGTGGTAGTGATGATTATGGTACTTACTATCCTTATTTCCACTATTTCTTGAGAGCCTACTGTGTGGCGGGCACTGTGCTAGGCATTTTACATATTTTTTCTCATCCAGTCCTCAGGTCAAACCTATCAGGTGGCTGTTATCCACATTATTCCAAATGAGGAAACTGAGGCAACCACAGTTTAGGTGCCTTGTGTAAAGTGACCCTGTGGCAGACATAGGATTTGAATCCAAGTGTGTCCAACTCCAAAGGCAGTACTCTTTTCATCATGTGACATGACCTCACATCTCTTTCAAAGACGGGGTTATGTCAACATGGCCAACAGGAGAGGCAGAAAAGCATATGGGTAAGAATCAGAAAAGATCTGGGTCAGAATCCCTGCTCTGCTAGCTGCGTCACTTAACTTCTCTAAGCCTCTGTTTCCACATCTGTAAAGTTGGGATTATAATAATTTCTACCTTGCAGGATAATTAAAAGGATTATCTAAGATAGTACATGTAAAGTCCTTCGCATTTCTAGTGCTGGGGCCATGTTAGCTTTACACGTAGAGCTCTATGACAGGATATCCCATGAAGGCAGGAGTTAGGTCTGTGCCTAGCATAGATTAGAAACTCAGTAAATCTGGTGAACGGAGAGAAAGATGAACAGATGAACAAATAATGGAATAAAAGGGTGAAGAAATGCCCTTGCTCTTTCTCGGAGGATCAATGCTCCCATCCGTGCCCATCTGACTCACCTCTCAGCCTTGGGATGGGGGAGGTCTTCAGGAGGCCCACCGTCCTGGCCTGAGGTGCTGGTGCCCTCTGGGATGCCCTGCCCGGCCTTGCAGCCGGGGTGGGCCTCCTTGCCCCGCTTGTGTTCTGTGCCATCACATTTCTTCTCAGCCTCGCTGTCAGACAAGTCTTCCGGGGAGCTGTCCTCACCGCTGGTCTCCTCGCTTGAGGTGGTCTCATAGCTGGAGAACAAGACAAAGGTCACTCATTCTGTGCTTTCTACCCGGTGCCCAGGTCAACACATATAAGAACCAGGTGGGCTTCAGGTAATAATTCCCAGCTTGCTAAACCACATCTCCATTCTCTATACCTGCAGACCCGGTTGAGGGGACTCCCAGGAACCTTATGTCAGAGAAAGATGTGGTTAAGAGCTGTGGCTTTAACACCAGAGGCCATTTGGGGAGAAAAGATAATTAACTGAGCTCTTTGCAGTGAACATGTAAATAGCCCATACCCTAATTGGACAATGCATTTGGAGGATTCAGACAAGCAATCCAAGATTCTCACAGAAGCATTTTTTCAGGAATCCTAACATGTTGTCTAGAGAGGGGCCCAGATCTAGGCAAACATCCCCACTCCACCCTGGATCCTCTGAGTTGACTGACAAATCATCACGTCTCCAGGTGATTATGAGGCTTCCCTTTAGCTCCCCTGTTCTAGCCCAGCTGACCTCTGAAAGGAGGGACCCATCTGTATCTACTCCCAGCAGGGTTCCATGGGAAACCTGAACAGTCAGGGTACCTGAACCCAGCATCTGCCTTTCCTGGCTGCAGCCTGTTTTAGCTATTACTTGCAACAGCAAAAGCAAGGGCACGGGCCCCTTGACTTGTGGCCCCTCCTCCCCAGGAGTGATCCTTATATTCAATTATGTGCAACTCCACTGAGGTGACAGACCACAGACCATGAAGAGAAGTCCTGGAAGATTTATCGATCCTTCTGCCGATAGTCAACAGGAGACCCCGAAAGAGGATGCTGCAGTTAGGATGAAGATTTCGGGTGCTGGGGCCATTGGACAATGCCACAGAGACCAGGGGAGACCAGTGGCCACGGCTTCCACAGAACCCCCTCATGCCCTTTCTCTGAATGATGGCCCCTATGGAAGGCCCCTGTGCTCACTGGATTTGCAAACCCAGCCTGCTCCTTGGCGTGTTCACATTCTGTCTTGTTTAAACCAGATATTTCTTCTATTGTGCTTGGAACCACCTTTTACTTTTGTGATTAAGGGAGTAGGGGACATACTACATTTACCAAGCTGGTCTTGTCTTACAGTTGCTTCCATAAAGACTTCACCTGGATGTCAGTTCATTCAACAGAAATTTATTGAGCACCTACTATGTGTCACACACTGTTGTAAATGCTATACCAAAGTACCTGTCCTAATTGAGTTTATATTCTAATAGGAAAACAACAGAAAGTAAACGTGTAAACAGTATAATTACATAGTGATAAGAACAATGAGTAAGATAATAAAGGACCATGGGATTGAGTAATGGGAGGAGGGGCTACATTAATTAGAGCAGAAGTTTTTTCACCCTGGCTGTACATTATAATCACCTGAGGGGATATCAATTCCCAATATCTGTGCTGCACCCCAGACTAATTAAACTGGCGTTTTCAGGGAGGGGACTCAGACGTTGGTATTTTTAAGGCTCCCCCAGGGTTTCCAAGGTGCAGCCAAGGTTGAGAAACATTGGACTAAAGTGACAAATACTGAAGAATATCTGGGACAGGAGCACGTTAAGAGGTGGGGGAGATGGATGGAAGGACAGATAGCAAATGCAAGGGCCCCAGCATGGGCCCAACTTGGCACATTTTAGGGAAGAGAGACAGGAGCCAATGGCAGACACTGAGGCAAGCTCTAGCTGCAAGACTGACTTCCAGGTTTGGGCACAGGGCAGGCACTGTCAGGGGCATTTCAGAAGGGGAGAGAGAGAACCTGCTTTTAGACTTTGAGATTAGGCTGATTCTCCTTTCCTGTGCATGAGCTGGCAAAAGCTGAAAACGGCAGCGAAAGCTGACGTTAGTGGCCATGAGAACGGCGACCCTCCTATGACATCCCATTTCCTTATATCTGACGTTTTCCTTGCAGAACCTGCAACAGTGCCGTCACTCTTATTTGAACCTGGTGTCTTCCTTCTGATCTGACCTGAAGGAAGCAGGGGTTCCGACCCCTTTGGGGCCACCACCGGGGCCTGCCACTGGCTGGGTCATGTGCCCCTCCTTTAGGCCTACACTTCTTCCTCTACACATCTCAGCATATCAGCATTTTCTCTTTACTTCTTGTCTTCTCCCTGCCCTGTCCAAACTATGAGCTCAGGGCAGGGACCATGATTTATTTCACTTTTTTTATGACTGACACCTAATACATTTGTCAACATTTAATAAATGTTTGTTGGATGACTGGTCTAGAAAATACTCTGAATCCAGGGGCGTCTGAGTGGCTCAGTCCGTTAAGTGTCCGACTCTTGGATCTCACTGTTTTGTGAATTTGAGGTCTGAGTCGGGCTCTGTGCTGGCAGTTTGGAGCCTGCTTGGGATTCTCTCTCTCCCTTTCTCTTTGACCCTACCCCACTCATACTCTTTCTCAAAAAATAAAATAAAAAAAAAAAAGAAAGAAAATATTCTAAAGCCGATGATTTACTCTCTAGAATATATAAGGTTTGATTCATGTTCTGAGTCAATAGGCATTGGTTGCTTTTCTTCACGCTAAAAGATGTTGGATTGGTTTGCAGTAAGTTAGTTAAAAGGAAGAAAAAAACCTAAATGGATGAAATTTGAAGTTCAACAAACTAAGAGTTTGTCCTGGTTTCAGTGTTTCTTGTGCAGGTTAAATGTCTTCTGTAAAGGGCCCATGTGCTCCCCAAACTCCCAGAAGCCACCTGGAATCCTGGCCCCGGGGGGCACCAACACCGAGACATTAAAAGCACGGGATCCGACAGACCACCACAGCTGGCAAGGAGCCAAACACATGCAAACCCAAGATGGAGTTTTAAAGGGCTGTTAATTCCCTTGAAGAAAAATGAGAACCAGATGCTTCCCCCTAGGAAAAGAGAGCACTAAGGACAACAGCGGGATGGGAAGTGTGGAGGGGGCAGTCTGGGCTTCACGAGCGATGCTTACCCACCGTTAACCCCAACAAACTGAAGGTTCTTTTTGGTCCCATTACCTCCTGCACGGAAGCCATAGTCTTTCTTTTTCATTATGGACTTAAGGCTGGTCGACGGGGAGATCTCTAGGCAGACACAACATCACAGGTTAGAATGATCTTGGGGATGCCCCAGAATTCAGCGAAACCGGTACTCTTGCTTTGAGCGGATACACACTGAAGGTATGTGAGGGGGTAGAAAGGGACAGAGCACTAGATAATGTAAATCAAATATTGTGAAGGTCTTTGAGGAGGCCTGGCCTTCTGGTCAACACCAGCTGACCTGTCCCTGTCCACAAAGCCCTTCTGAGTGTGGATGGTGGAGTGGAATTAGTGGCACTCTTCCAGAAGAGCCATGTGGTGTGTGTGCCATTATCGTCCCTGTTTTATGGGAGGGAAATCTGAGGCTCAGACTTGCTCAGTGAATGGCAGAATGGTCCATTCACATGACCTCTGCTCCAACACCCACCTCTGCCGGAGGGCACCTCAGTGGTCTTTCCTGGCTCACAAGCCAGTTGACACCTGCGATGCAGGGCAGGTAGAGCAGACACGTGAACGAGAACGTGGCTTCTTTTGCTGTGCTCACAGTTATGGGAGGCATTTTCCAATGGGCAAGGCTGGAAATAGCACCGACATCAGGAAAAAGCAGCCAGTTTATGATCTGCGGCAGGAAGCAGACTTGCGGCCCCACTCGTTGAGCAAAGCAAAATATGGTTCCACTTTATGCAACAGAAAAGTGTGTGATCTCTTACAAGAGGAAGTGTGCTCAGCCAAAGGGTCAACTTCCACATGTATCGTTCAATCTCTCTCTTACACACACACACACACACACACACACACACACACACACACACACACAAAGTATTCAGTGAAATATTTCCGATCTCAACATCATGCTCCTCCAAAACCAGACTAGAGAAAACCTCTACTGTGCAAGAACCAGAGAGGACCACAGGAATGCAAGAGCCCAGGAAACAGCGAAGGCAGGCTGAGGTTTAGAGTACACACAGCCAGGGCCATTCTTGCCCTAGACATTGCCTTTGCGCCATGCAAATGAGGAACAGGCACCCCTCTGGCTGGACACAGTGCTGCAGACTTGGCGAGTGAGTGTGGGCTGAATTTCTGCTCCCGTTTAACTTCCCTGGCCGGCATCTTTGTGCCCTGTGCTATCTGCACAGCTGTACAGGCCTGCACAGCCTGCAGTCAGGCCCAACCTTAGAGCAAGGACAAGAGTAGGGGCACAGAGCCTCCACTGTTACATAGATGGGTTTTTATTCCACTGGGTTCCCCGAGCTGCTTAAACCTTTTAAAAATACATATATATGCACGCAATTAAAATCCTTTTTCCCTTTGACTCGCCAGGTAGAGGAGAAATGGTTCCCTGTGTTGGGGACCAGTATTTACCCATCAGCGGAGAGGAGGCAGGGGCCGGGGGCTCCTTCTGGGGTGGAGCGTGGGCCAAGTAGGCAGACAGCAGCAGGTTGAGGGAGCTGAGTAGCTGGCTCTGGATGCTGCTGAGCTTGGAGGCAGGCTGCTTGATGGCACTGGCCAGCTCCGGGTACCCGTGCTCCAGGCAGCTCCATTGCTCCTGCAGGAGTTCCTGGATCTTCTTAACATATTGCCCAATAGTGGCATCTGTTGGTGAACTTGATGGCCTCCCTGGGCGCTCCTTCCCTGGCAGCTCTGAACTGGCCTCCTCCCTCCCTGCCGGAGGAGTCTTTCTATCACTGCTCCATGGAGAGCCTCCTGGTCCCTTGCCCAGACCCTTGGTTCCCACCTGAGGGTCCCCCTCAAGCTCAGAGCCTGTTTCTTCGATCCTCAGCTCAGTGGAGAGGCAGCTATGTAAAGAGGGCGTGAGGACCATCTCGGGTCCTTGTGGCAGTGAGAGCTGAGATGGTGGCATGAATTCTGCTGGGCTCCAATCCCCCGGTTTGTGGCTGTCCTGCCCCCATAAGAGCCCATTCTCCTCTCCTCCAGCCCTCCAGCTTTCAGATTCTGTGCTGCCCAGAAGGTTGACCTCAATGCTCTTGTCACACAACTCCCTGGTCAAGAGTCCATGGAGGGGGTCAGTGTTGACCACGGCGTCAGTCTGGCCCTGAGCATCTTTGGCGTTCTCATGGCTAAGCTTATCTGCCAGTTGAGCTACCGTGCACTCTAGTTCTTGAATCCTCTGCCCTCTAGCCTTGATTTCCTCCTCCTGCTGCTGGAGGGCAGCTCTGACCTGGGCCAGTTCCTCAGTTCTTCCAGATAGCTCACCCTCAAGGGCAGACAGCTGTTGCTTCAGGCTGGAGATGCTGACGGGATCCATCGTGGGGAGGCCCAGGCTTTCCTCCGTGACCCGGACGCCAATGCTTCTCACGTCTATCTCCACAGGTGGTGGGGGTGGGATCTCGCTGATGTTGAGCTCTATTTCTTCTAGGGGGAACTCGTTCTCAGGGATGGGTGATGGCAGAGGTGGGGGACTTGGTGTTGGGGAGCCAGGGGTGACCACTACCTCTGCTTCTGGGGTTTTGTGTTCATCTTCTTCATCCTCGAGAACTATCAGTGCATCCTGGGATGAGAAGGGAGGACTTGGGAAAGAGAGGTGATTTGGAGCCTCCTCATCATCTGCATCCTCTGGAGGCTCAGCGCCTTCCTGGACCAGCTCTGGAATCCCTGGCACCAGGTCCCCAAACTCTCTGACTTTGGGTTGAGTTGTTGCTCGTGGGGTGGAGTTTTGAAAGCCCGCAAATCCATCTGCAGGGCCAAAGGTGCCATCACAGACATTGCCTTCACCCTGAAGGGGAGGGAGGGCAGGAGGTGTGGGGGGACCTGAGTTTAGGCTTGGGTCCTCAGAGGCCCTGTTTTGCAGCAGTGTGGCTGGCATGCTGGATGCCCTCAAGAGCTGGGGCCGTCCACTCCCGGAGGCCAGCTCAGCCTCCCTGGGGGCTGCAGCCTCCAAATGTCTGGCTGTCTCCGCCAGCAGGGCCTTCCTGTGGTAGCTCACGTCACTCCCGCTGGTGGAGGCTTGCACATGTTCACCAGGTGGCAACGACTGGGCTCGCTCCTCTGTCCCCAGCGGCACCTTCCTTGGCACCACTGGGGACCAGTTTTGGTGGGGAAGAGCAGCATGGGGGCGAGCCCTGCTGTCAGGAAGGCTGAAGTTTCGGGGCAAAGTGCTAAACTTGGCCTGCTTGGCCCTTCTGTGGATAGGAATCCTTTTGATGGTGTTTCCCTTCTCAATGTCATCCACGTACTTGAGGAAGTCCAGGTCTAAATGAAAGCCATATGGGGTCTCCACAGAGTAGGGGTGGCTCTTTGGAGGGTCTTTCTCTTCCTCTCCCTGAGAGGACTGGTCTTTGGCTGGGAGACATGTAAAAAAGAAGCACAATGTTAATAAGAATTGCAGGGTGGTGAAGCCGAATATGTGTGATTTAGACTTAAGGCTCTCACATGAGACGTCTCCTAAATGTCCCAGCCTCTAAATTAAAGCTGAGATTCTCACAGTCTTCCGGCCATGCTGAGAGTCCAGGTTATTAAATCAGTGTGTACTTAGCCAATGTCTGCAAGGAAATAGGTAGAGGAAATAGTTTCCAATTTGCAGTATTCATCTCAGTTACTGCTGTGGAATCTGCCCACAGACCAGCAAAATAAAATAGTCTCATACTGTTTTTCTGGTTCTGAGTCATGGTAACTGCTGAACTGAAGTGGCCAGGAATTTGACGGATCAGGGTACTAATTGGAAATTATGAATACTGAAGGTTTTGAAGGATAAAATATACAACTGCCTCAACATTAAGAAAGAACCTTGCATTATTCAAATAGATACTAGTAAAGCTTGCCGAAGCCAGAGATATCAAGGAGTTATGTCTTCTGTATTATTTAAGCTACCTCATATGTGTCAGCCTTCAGATACAGGAGGATCAGAGAGAATTGGAACATGTAGTCATGCACAGCTCCTGCTCTTTTCCACCTGAAAACTGTTTAGTGCTTTACAAACATGAGTAAAAGTGCTTCACTTTCAAAAGCTCATGTCAGGTGAGGAAATACCATATTCTTCATAGACTGGATAAAAGCTAGTAAGGAAAAAGGGCCATGTCAAAAGGAACATTGGTGTACATCCTCTGAGAGGGGTGGGACTCATGACTTTTCAGGGCAGCCCAGACTATCAGGGGACATTGTGATGACAAAGTTCATCACACCAAGGCACCATTGATTTTCTTGACTCCAGCAGTGAATGCTGAGAACAAGTCAGTCCTTCAACTATTTGCATCCATAAGGACTTCTTCAGGTTAAATCGTCTGTTCTCATGTAACACCCCTAACATTCTGCTAAACATGCTCCAAAATTGCTTAGCTCAGGAGAGAACATTAATGGACAGCACAGAGATCAAGAATGCAGGTTCAAAAGCCTGGTCTGTATTTTGACCCTTAGGGAAATGACTTAGCCTCTCTATGTCTCATCATCTATAAAATGATGAGATTTTTGTGAGATTATTGTGAGAACGGAATCATTAATATTTATAAAGTGCTTCACATGATAATAAACACTCAACACATGCTCAATATTGTAGTTATTATCTTTGTGGAAACACAAAACATAGAAAACCGATGCCTCATAATGGAAGTGGATTTGCCTGGGTGCACAGAAGGGGACAAACTTAGGGGCGCCTGGGTGGCTCAGTTGGTTAAGCATCTGACTTCAGCTCAGGTCATGATCTTGCAGTCTGTGAGTTCGAGCCCTGCGTTGGCCTTTGTGCTGGCAGCTTAGAGCCTGGAGCCTGCTTCGGATTCTGTGTCTCCTTCTTGTCTCTGCCCCTCCCCCGCACATGCTCAGTCTGTCTCTTGCTCACAAAAAATAAATAAACATTAATTTTTTTTTAATTATAAAAGCAAATAAACTTTTAAAAAGTACTTTTCTTAGGCTTGGAGGTTAATTCTGCCTTGGTAGGAAAGGGATGACTTCACAAAAGTGACCTAAGACTGACATAAAATGAACAAACAGGAATTTACCAGGAGAACAAGAGGGTGAAAGACATTGTAGCTGTTTATCTCCAAGATGGCCACCATCACTTCCCACCCTCCATACAGGCAAGGGAATCCCACACGAGAGGCAGAGTCTGTTTCTCCACCCCTTTGAATCTGAGCTGGCCTGTGACGGCTTTGACCAAAATAATATGGTAGAAATGATGCTGAGGGAATTCCAAGGTTAAAGCCTGGAGTTCCACCTGGGTCTGTTAGAATGCACACTCAGTGGAAAGGCAGATGCCACATATGAAGTCCATCTTCCCTGAGACTGCCATACTGTGCGGAAGCCCTAACAGCCCCACACGGAAGAGATGGGGAAAGAGGGGGAGACGTGCTTAGCCAGCCCAAGCTGTTCTAGCCATGCTAGCCCAGGTGCCAGGCATGAGTAAAAGAGCCCTCAGATGACTCCAGTCTCAGCCATCATCTGACTTCAGTGACAGTGAGGCACTCTGAGTGAGGACCACTCAGCTAAGCTGTGTTAATAATACATTCTTGTTTTACGCCACTAAGTTTTGGGGTGTTTGTTACGCAGCAATAAATAGCACAGATTCTAGATACACATCGGAGAATGTGCAAAGGCATGGAGGTGTGAAATGTCATAGTGTTCTGGGGTTCTGTAAATATAGTTGATGTGGCTGGAGCTCCAAGTGAGGTAGAGAAGAGTAGAAAGAGACAAGTGGAAAAGTCAGCAAGAACCAGATCTTGGAGCAGTTCACATGCACACCAACAAGCCTTGACTTCACTCTGCAGGTAATCAACTGTGGCTTCTCAGAGTATCTTCACAGAGGACTGCAAAAAGGACAAACCAAATGCCTCAAGACCATTTGGGAGCCTGCTGACATGGTCAAGGTAAGAGAAGCTAAAGGCTGACATGGTCAAGGTAAGAGAAAGGAATGAAGGGAAAGGGACAAGTTAAAGAAAAAGGGTGCAGTTGATGGTGCTACCTGGGGTAGCTTCTGGGGGGCTGCCTTCTCCCCACATGTGATGACATATTGGGCCTGAGTTCTTCCCACTTGCTCGTCTGATCTCTCCTTTTGGCCAGTGTCACATGCTTTTCAGGTGGCCCTCTGTGTTTAGAGAAGTACAGTTACCTCCAAAGAACTAAATGAAATCAACTAGACACGCAAAGGTTCATGGTGTGCACACTGACACAATCAAGCCTAGTAGGCTCAGTAAAGCCATAGGCTTTACACAGTTACGTCACAACCATAGCAAGGAACAAAAGGAGGCACTGGTGCTCACCCACAGGATGGTCTTCGTTGGCTTCTACCATTTCTGTGGCAGGGACCTGAACTTCAGGTAATGAGGAGTAAATACGTCTCAACCCCTGCCCCCCCCCCATACCAAATAAGTTCCCATTCACCCACACAATGTTTTACCAACCTGCTTTCCCAAAGAGGCACACTCGTAGTTTCAGTAACTGAGAGCTATTGCTTTTCTGTTAGTTTTCCAGGCTACACTTGGCTGTACTCTTAAGCCTACTGGTCGGCCCTGCAGCCTCCTGGATTACAGGGACAGACCAAATCAGAGAGGAGGTATTTGTCTAAAGTTAAGTAGAGAGCAGATTTATGACCCAGAAGGCAAGGAACTCTCCTAAAGGAGAGGCTGCATTATTTATCTGCTTATTGCCTCAATTCAATTGAGGCTGATTTACCCAGTGGCCTCTGGGAGCAGGTCCAGAGCACAAATACAATAATAGCATCAAATAAGAAACAGCAGATTCGAAGGCAAAATCTTCCACAAGGGAGATGGAAGGAAACCAAAGGAGTCTGGAGACTGAGCAGCCATCCAGGATGATAGATTTAATAGGTGCTTTCCTAAACTAGCCCTATGGGTTATCTCTCTCTCTCTCTCTCTCTCTCTCTCTCTCTCTCTCTCACACACACACACACACACACACACACACACACACACACACACACACCTGCTCTACCTGCCACCCACCACTGTGTTCCTTCTCCTTCTCCCAATGTAATAGGAATGCTGGACCTTGTATGAGGGAGTTGATCCAATATGCCAGCAGACCTGTGCTCACATTTGGCCCTGCTCTTCTTAATTCTACCTGGTGACAGGTGTGCAGGACCTCAGAATTCCAGGCATTGAGCCAGGGCAAGAATTAATTAAGAGGACCGTCTCTGCTCAAAATGAGCTTCAGATCGGATAAATGAACACATAGCCAAACTGGCTGGATTTGAATCCTGGCTCTGTCATTTCCTACTTCTGGGAACATTACTTAATTATTTAATTTCCTGATGACTCAGTTTCTCCATTTGTAACGTGGTGATAATAATACCTAACTGACAGAGTCATTGCGGTTGTTAGCATGAATGCCATAGAAAGAACACAGCGCAGGGACTTGAGAAAGGCAAGATAGGCTGGTGCTGAGTGAGGCAGGGGAGGATCTGCTGAAGGTGTGCTCATTCCTTGGAATATTTAGCTTTGTGTTAGAATGACAGCCTCAAGAGTCCAAGAAGATAATTCTGGGGAAACTGGGAAAAGGAGTCAGGGGAGAAGAAAAAAGTAAGTTATATAGGCTCAGAGCTACCTAGGATTCCCTACAGAGTCTGAAAGCATGCCAGATCACTAGACCCTTGGAAATGACCCGCAAACAGTTGTGAGCCTAAGACACACACAGATGCAAGAAAGGGGATCGGAAGGGGACTAGGGAAGGAGGGAGATGCCACAGTGGTTATCTTGAGGAACACAGTGAAGTGCAGCAGGTGAGCTCACCAATCAGAGATATTTAACGTTTATTTATTTTTGGGGGACAGAGAGAGACAGAGCATGAACGGGGGAGGGGCAGAGAGAGAGGGAGACACAGAATCAGAAACAGGCTCCAGGCTCTGAGCCATCAGCCCAGAGCCCGACGCGGGGCTCGAACTCACGGACCGCGAGATCGTGACCTGGCTGAAGTCGGACGCTTAACCGACTG